AATCTGCAAAGCTAATTCTTCCATATGATAAACAGAGCAGAGAGGAAATCTGTTATAATTTTTAACTGCACAACTCAAATCAAAGCCACGTGCTACATGAACTTTTATGCACAAGCAGCAGAAAAAGCCTCAATGTTTTGACATGTCCAACTCCTATATAACAATGAAGCTCGAGAACAGCCATCCTCTTCAGATGCAAATCATTCCGAATTATTTATTACGTGTGCATTAACTCTTATAAAGCACAAAATTACGGAATAAATGAGGTTGGAAGTGACACCTCAAGATCATCTAATCCAACGCCCTTCCTCAAACAATGGGGAACCAGAACCGTTTGCTCTGGACTGTGTCCGGATGGATTATGACTGTCTCCACAGATGGTGTCCCTGCAGCTCCTCTGGGCAACCTGTTACTGTGTTCAACCACCCTCAAGATTCCTCAAAGCCAGAGAAATCAAAGTCAGGTCACTAGAAGGTGAGTTTCAGGCTGCTGTATTTATTTATTTTTAAATGAGGCAAATTATTTGCTGCTAAATAGCAGCTCTGGGCAATAGAGTCCCCTAATTCATAAAGGAGGATGCTCAGCAGAGCAGTGGGCATGCTGATTTGAGACTATTTTGGGGCTAACAAAAAAGTTTTTGATGACATGTAGAGATGTTCACCAATCTTCACTGCTAAACAGGAAATACTAAGTTATTCTCAACTTTAAGCACACCAGCATTTAAGAAACCTGAAGTTTCTTCCAGTACCCGAAGGGGCTACAAAAAAGCTGGAGGGGACTATTTTACAAGGGCCTGTAGTGACAGAACAAGGGGTAAGGGGTGTAAACTGAAAGAGAGGAGATGTAGATTGGACATCAGGAAGAAATTCCTCCCGGAGAGGGTGGTGAGGCACTGGCACAGGTTGCCCAGAGATGTTGTGGATGCCCCATCCCTGGATGTCTTCCAGGCCAGGTTGGATGAGGCTTGGAGCAACCTGGTCTAGTGGAAGGTGTCCCTGCCCATGGCAGAGGGGTTGGAACTGGATGGTCTTTAAGGTCCCTTCCAACCCAAATCATCCTGTGATTCTATGAAACTATTCCATAGCACATAAGAGAGGAGTGCTCCTCTGTGACACTTGAAAAAAGTGTCAGTATAATTTCTGCCAATTGAAACACGTATTATTACAGTACGACGTAACAGAAAGCTACCTGGCTACTGTCAGGCCCTAGAAATAGCTGATGAAAAAAATATTACTTCAAGCCAATCAAACACAACAGTTTTGAATTTGAGGCTTTTTTTTGTTGCACCTCTTGGTCACAACTTTAACTGAAATAGTACCATCGTGAGTTCAGAAGTGGAAAAACCTTACCAAACTCTGGAAAAAGTTCACTTGGGAGCATTTGCTCATCCACGCTCAGGACACTGAAATCCTATTTAAACCTCTTCATGCTGTTTTCAGAACCTTCCAGCTACACGGCAGACACCGTGATACTCTGTGTCTGCTCAAGGCATCTGTTGATGGCAACAGTGCATCTGACAAAGAACTGCTTCCCGAAGACCACGGGAATATCTTCTAGGGTAAACCCTAAAACTACTCTTCAGCCAAGAATCAGTGGGGTTAAGTACTTCCACAGATAGCTTAGGTATATTGTATTTAACCTGGCTAAAGGGGCGTCTGTGGAATTTTTCCCCCACATGGCATTATCTGAAACGCTTGTTTACAAGATGTGAAATGGAAGTGTTTTGCTGCTGACCATGTGTGGGGCCTTATCTAAACTGTGAGAGAACCTGACACTTTCCTTGAGGTGCTCAGTGACCTAGTGACTAGTCACAGAACCACCAATTTCCTGATCCAAGTAAATAATTATAGCTCCCTTGAACAGAAATCATACAGCCTTATGCCGAGTGAGTGAAGCCAAAGCCAGAGCTTCTCAGAACAAACTACACTGCAAAACCCCGCATCCGCTGTAAAAACGACACAGTAGCCATTCACAGCCTTTTTCTGCATCATACCTTTTGGGAGAAGCGGCTATTATATTCCACCCAACAGATAAACCCCTCAAATACATGCTATATCTGAACTGACATGGAGCAACATACTACTCAGTGGAACCAACCCCAGGTATTCCTCTGCATACAGCAGCCACAGCCGGGTGGAGACCTGACACAAAGCATCTAGGAGCTGATCATGACAGCTATACCTAACAATAGTGGGAAAGACAGTTTCTCAAGTAGCTGAATTCCAGACCGTTCAAGGCTCACCTTAAATTGCCCCCTGAAACAAATGCTACCATAAAAACTGTCTGGGTTCATATGTAACACTTTAAAAAGCCGTATTTGACAGCTATGTTGTCATAACTGTGAAATACAGACCTCCTTTGCTTCAGAGCTGTGAAATATTACTTCTCTTTCCTGCTAGCTGGC